TTGTCAGTAAATAGTATAACCTTCAAATCAAGTAAAACACACATGTGACATACTGAGAATGAAAAATGTTGACACATTTTAAAAGAGACACAACACCTATTCTTATTTTACTTGTATAGCATTGTGTAATTGTTTAAATCACAATACCCACAACTTGCCAAAACAGATTTTTGATTTTTCTACAGGAAAACAGTTAAAAACTGTGTGACGTGCTATGGGGAGAAGTTAATTTGAAGTTACATCTATGTCCAGAAACAATACAAGGGGCCATCGCAGCATTTGCTCGAGGATCTGGACGAAAACCTAATCGAGATGGGGGCATTGACCCTGAAGCTGAAGTACAATATTTGTTACAGGTTCTTTACAATTATAAATCCAAATGATACATAATACATTAAATGACATTGCTAAAATTAATATTACTTTCCTTTTGGATGCTCGGCATAGTATCTAATTGTATAGAAACAGTTGAGCAGCAGAAAAGATTTTACTTGGGACTTCAACTTTTGTATCGAATTTAATCGTTTAATGTCATCTGGCAAGGTGTTGTAAAATAATGTACACGTATCGTATGTGAATTTTTTGTAGTGAGCTGTTGATACTGTTACTTGATGAATAGTGTTGCTACGTAGAGTGTTGTAGACGTTTGCTGAAAATATATTCCCGTCCTTAAATACCTCATTTTTGACAAAAAACACTGATTCATATATGAAGAGACTTGCAAGAATCACCTGGGTGGGATTTGCTTATTATTCGTTCAATTCGTTTTTGTAATCTAAAAGTCTTGGAGATATCAGATGTATTTCCCTAGAGTATTATGCCGTATCTCAGGCGGGAATGAACATTCGCGAAAAATACACAAGCAGTGTGGAGGCTGACTGAATTTGAAAGAATTCTGAAAGCGTAGCATAAATAACTTAATTTAACGTTCAATGTATTTAAATGGACGATCCATTTAAGGTTTGACTGAACTGAAAGACTTCAACATTTTGTTACCTTAACATCTCAATGGCACACCGTTCATTTTCAGTGACGTGCAGAGCTGTTTATTTGAAATGGAGAACTGCATTGAAACAGTTTTCTTTTCATTTACTATTAATTTGTTATTACGTAACCAATTTGAAATTACTGATATTGTACTATTTACGGTTTCTTTATTGCAAAGAATATTCGTATTATCCGCAAAGAGAACTGTGAAACAAATCATAAAGATAATAAATGATTTTTAAAATAACTTTATTTAAATCATCTCTTTTTAAATTTTCTTGTGAATCCACAGTACTAAAAATGTTCCCACCAACTGAAATCTGACCCTGAACATACCTCCAAAAAGTGTCTAATCCCTTCAGAGTCTGTGTGGCAGAAGGTGGTTTAGAATCATGGGCCTCTCCTACTTCTTCCCCTGTCAAGTCCTCTTGTTCTGGAATCATGGAACCTAAAATTTCTTTGTCGGCAATCTGAAACGGTGACTTCTGCATCGACATTATTAAAAATGTAGTCGACTTTGCATGATACCAAATTTGTAAATCCTTGCCACTCATCATGGGGTAGAAATGCCCAATTCCTTCCCTTCATGCTGCACGACACGTTGACTGAATCCGGCTTTTCGGAAACAGATTACGATTGTTTCGTATTTCACAGCTCTCCATGATTTTTGCAACAATACAACAGCGTCATGTTAATTTGAATCAATTATCTATTTGCATGATTCAAAACGTGTCAGTACTCTTGGAATTATAATTTTCCTGAAGAAACCCTTCAGGTTTTTGACACCCTAATCCATAGGCTGGAGTTTAAAAAGTCATATTTGGTGAGAAGTGTATAAGTCAAACTGCATTTCTGATCTCAGGGTATTGTATTTCTCTAGCAATACAGGCAGGATATTGAATTTATAGATTTCACAGTCTTCCATATGCACACTTGCCATTCGTCATTTATAATCTTCTGTGCAATTCCATTGCGGTGTTTGAAATTTTCCAGCCAACCTCTACTAACTTGAAAAGCCTTAATTACTTATTCTCAAGCATATGTTTCTACCCTTTCCTTAATGAACCCTGAATTGGAATGTTCACGTCCCTAGCATACGCCGGGATTTCGAGACGTGATAACAGACTTCGTCAGTTTCTTCGAGTTAAAAGGATGATTTTCATTTAGTGGAAGAAGATATTGTTTCGAGTTCGCGGTATCAAATTTCGAGTTAACGAGACAGTCTTACATGTAAAATACGAGAATGAACATTGTTTCGACATATAAAAAATTCGCGTTATTTATGTTGAATCTTGAGGTTTGACTGATTTATTATTTTTGTATTTTTACGGTGCAATCTGAGCTGAAATACAAAGAACGATACTGTGTGATTTGAATCGAAGTGCATAGATCTCTCACAATGTTAGTGCAAGTGAATCTGGAATGTAAACGCGAAAAGCTGCTTCATTGAATATTTTATTTAAATACCCCGAAAAACTTCACAAATTTTGTTATGGAAAAATAAGGAAATGGCCCGAATAGCCTGGAAAAGTCGGGGAAATTCGTTCAAGAAAAGTGGTCATTCCGTTATTCTTGAAAGTGTGCAATGTACTTAATATTGATCTATTTACTTCTTTACTTGATATTTCTTTGTTATGCGACTTACTTGATATGCTATTTAGTTGTATAAAAATAATCAATTTGCCCTGAAACATACTTCGGATGTCCTGAATTCCCTTGTCCTTGGTATTCTAATGGCAACCATATTTATCGGTCTTTTGGAAAAGTAAAATACTTAAGAATCTTTCCTTTATTATTGCTGAAGTTAATTTCAGAACAGTACGTACCTTTCAACACAAGCATTGTAACTTCTGCATAAGCCGGAAAAGTATAATTATTTTCTTGGAACATATTAAACGTGTCCCGATACATGTCAAATAAGTGGTTAAAATTATGTTCTATGTAATTTTACGTGTTATATAATGACTTGCCATTGAAATCCTAGGAACATAAAACCACATGGCACGAAACAATAATTATTTTTTAACCTTTTAACCAGCTCTAAATAAACACAATTCCATCATCAATTATTTCATACTACATATACTCCAGTAACAGCTACCGGTAGTTTTACGTTTTCTCCACCAGAGCCGCTAGTTGTATGCGCGCGCATTCCCTAAATAGCCACAAACCCGGCCCAGCTACGCTACTATATTATACGTACACTGTTGTTGAGATTTGTACTTAGTTTCGAGAGGAATTGATTCTATGCAGTATTGCAGAAATATGCCACTTCAATCTCATGAACAAAGAATATATCAGTTTAAAAAACGGCTTGATTGTGTCGCCACCTAATTAATTTTAAAAATGTATATTTTTATGTCTGATGGCCTTTTAAACCAATAGCTACACATTGACATTGAATAACTTCAAATAAACATAAACAAAATAATAACCAAATGTAGCTAGCTAATAAAGTAAAATATAACGTTAATGATTAACGAATTGAATAAAAACTACAAAAAACAAATTAAATTGTTAATAATATATTGTATAAAATTTATAATAAAATCATAATCATTTGTCAGAATTAAAACTTCGTATTTTTTCGTGTTGTCATTGATGCAACCCGTCAAAGAATGCCTAATTTCATTGCACGTGCACTGACAGTTCTGGAATCCGTTTAGTTCGTGACTTCTCTTCAATCGTCGGATAGCCCAGTTGTAGAGAGATGACATTGCCTGTACTACGGTGGGTATCAGCGCAATGAATGGAAAACTCTATTAAACCTACCCTAAGTTAAGCGTATGCTCCGGCGTATTTTCATTTTCTCCTCCTTACACATTTATCATTTATACTTGCATTATGTTGCCAACATTTATAGATACCCTACTAAAAAATGTACTTATATGAATAATTATGAAGCATCGATCAGGTGACTTTTCCTTAATTCTTGATAACTGGTATTATAAAATAAACTATACAATATATATATATACATATATGTATATATATATATATATATATATATATATATATATATATTTGAGATGCACCATAAACAGATTCTCAAAATGATAAATTTTATCTCATTTAATTATTGACGCTGCGAAATATTCGTTAGATACGTCGGGAGAGCATCAACAGAAACTTCAACGATCATCGCCTTTTCTATTGAAAATTTTCATCAGACGAGGGTGTTCTGGAAAAGGAACGATACATAACTAGCAAAGATTGTTACTTTGAAGAAAGAATCAATGAGTATTGAAGAGATTGTCATGGTTACCTCTGTTCAGACGAAATTGAACGTTAAGTTTGTCGTTTTTACTGCACGTTAGACTGCAGAAATGGTGCTAGGAATTGCCTGACAGCGCCTCGAATCGAACTTTGAATGTGCCCAACATATTTTACGCAGCCTGCGTGCACGGCAAACTGCTCGCGGCGCCTCTGATGACAATGCGAGTTCACTGCGTCTAAATTGGAAAGAGCTGTATTCTGAGAAGTCTGACAATTGCATATATTTCACACGCAGCTGCCCAGGAGCTGATGCGATCTCTTTGTGACGCTCCGAACAGGAAGCAGTTGACAATCTACTTTAGAGAAATTTGTACGAAAGAAATGAGTCTTTGGTCAACTGGGAACAAATTCCCGTGGCTTTTTTTGAGTAAAATTACTGGGCGGGAAGTTTGAAATGTATGAACTTTCCTTCTGAAATGCCTTCGATGAGCAGCGAAACAGCATTGTTCGAAACGTGGCGCCAAATTTGAATCAATTGCCAACAATGATCTGTTTTCGCTCTTGACATTACTCTTGATAAAAGAAGATCCACATAACTGGATAAACGCAAATCTTGGTTACATCTCATTCTGACATTTATTTCAAAGACCAAATTAGAGGAAATTTAGAGGGGGCTTCATTGTGAAATATAAGTTCAAGGCTACTTATATATTTCTTTCTTCTTTACTCTGAGGAATGAAAATCTGAATAGAAACTTGTTCTGGTCATGCAAACAGAACTTTAAAAAAAAGTTTTTTGATATAAAATATTTTTATTTTGTAATAAGTGTCATACTCCAAGAGTAATAATCATGCTCAAGTTGTCATACTGCTCTGACAAGAACAAAAACACATGACAAATAACACAGTGAAAAACAATTAATAAATTCAGAAAAATTGTATTTATATCTAAATCACAATATCTTGAAATTTGTGTGAAAAACAACATTAAATGTTGGATTACAATATTCACTGACATAAATGAATGTAAATATAAAAATGAGTTCACTAAAATGCCAACCACAAAACAATACAGTGAAACTTAAATTTTACGTTTATTAATAAACCAACATTCGAAATTCTGGACAAACTATAACAGATAACCAAGGCACACATATGGTTTATAAAACACATACATTCAATGTGCCACATCAGTCAAGTCTCATCACATTTCTTTCTTAAAAATGGATACTTTTAAAGAAAAACATATCTTTCTCACATTCTTCAGATCTTGTAGGTGCCATATGTATGTCACAAGTGGTTATATTTAGGCAATAAAAATTTCTCCTGAACTTGGCAAGGATGATACTTCATTGTAGAATCTAACTGGTATTATATCAAAAGAAGTTGATACATGTAGTATTTTTGAAAATATTGCAGCAATAAAATTACTTGCCTATAAAGCCACGAAATTTGTCATTCTACAGCACATTCTCAAAGAAAACAAACAGTTACATTTTGGAACTCAACAAAGTTGTCAAAATTTGACTAGCTTTTAGAACTACCAGTAACATGAGTTCATGTAGGTGCAACAATGCAGTGAAATTGAATGATCAGCCTTCATTTATATATACATCATATATAATTAGCTTCACTAGTTGTATGCACACTTGAACTTGTAAAATTGTATCACCCTGATTTTTCACATTATTTTCAGTAAAGAAATACATTGTGCTGTGTACTGACCAAACAGTTCATACATACTCTTTCATATGGTTTGCCATCTGGCAATAACACACACATATCAGAGCCGGATTAAAACTTGTGAAAGCCAAATCCAAAACGTATGTAGAGCTCTCCTTTATGTAAGAAGTGAGGAGTAATGTACACTATATAATTTCAACATTAAGATGTGTAGAAAAATTTAAGGATGCTCTCTAGATGCCCAGCTCACTGTTAAGATTGTAAATGGCTTTCGTCATTCAGTTAATTCGACTCTGCATACACATAAAAAAAATTAACTGTAAAGACATTTGAACTGGAACTGCAACAAACACACTATTTTCATAAGGATGAAACTTCAAACAAAAAATTACAAATAATGCAATAAGATATAGGGTGGCAATGTACATATATGTTTTCCCAAAAACTGTCATGATGAGAAGTTGATGTTCCAGTAAAACCCATGATCACATATACGAATGTTGCCTACAATGGGTCCACTTCTGGAGGCTCACGCACACATCTGCATCATCAGTAGTTCTGAACATCAATGAAGGGCATAGACTGAGAGGATGATCCTATGTCCAAAACTCAATGAATCATATTGTAAAAATATTCATTATGAAACGTAAAATCAAGGTTTCACTGTAACCATCACAAAAACATATGGTGAATTTGTAGTTTGAATAATCTCATTCAGCAGAACCGCAAATTTACTTTGTACCACAAGACAACTGCAAACATTCTTCAAAAATGAAGACTGACTACAATCACATTGAAGCATGAAATGCTTTTCAATCAATGATTTACTTGAGCAACAGAAGCCTTATGTTGTGCACCATTTTGTTACTATTTTCATATCCCATACTCTTCTTGAACCCCCTAAGTACACCAGTGCAGCTCATGGAATTCCCAATTTACAGTACAGGCCAGTTATTACCCCTTAGGATGAAGCTTTGAAAATGTGAAAGGTTTTGAAAACATAAGATTGTCAACACAGAACTGCACATCCACACAATATACCACTAATTTGCTACGCTAGATACCAACAATTATATAAAAGTTTTTAACTCCGATTATTGCGGCTCTGAAGTGTTCAAGACACCATACATTCTGTTAGCACTTGCAATAAAAAGATTCAGGTAAATTGAACAGCACAATTACATTCACAACACTGTAAAGGAAACTCTCTATTGTCAGATCATACAATACACAGTTCCAAGGAAAGAAGCTTGAAGAAGCTAACAGCTTCTTAGAGCACCCACACTTTCCTCAGAGCACAAAGTTTTGGTACAACATTATAATGGTAAAAAATATATTTCCATTCAATTGCATCACATTTCAATCAATGTTCATAACTTTCTGAAAGAAAGTAAGGGAAGGAGAGAGGGAAAGCACAGAATGCAACTTACAAATAACTAAATTCTCACTATAATCTTGACAATTAAGCAATTATAGATCTAGAGTACACACATTCTTCATTGAACACAAATAAAACAATTTTACTATGAACATGATACAAGATTTAATCATAAAAATGTATCAAAGCATACATCTCAAGACAATAAAAAATATTATGAAATCAGACATGCTTACAACATACAGTACCAATCACCCAATACTCTTGCACTCTTAGAAGTCAAACTTCTCACTGGCACTTTCTGCTCAACTGGCACATGTTTGGTCCTGGAGTCATTTTTAAGTAAAACCCCCAACTCATTTTTCATAAATTTTAAGCTTTTTTTGTCTTTTTGTTTTTACCAATACTCTTTCAATTAACACAGGTGAGAAATACCTGCAGAAATGACTAGGTCACAATATTAATCCAATATTTAATAACTGATAAGAAACTTCCAATTCCTCATCAATATTTCACTACACAAGTATGTAGTAATAATTTATGACATTCAGAATAAGAATTATCATTAATAGAAATCTTATTCCCTTCAATATTAACAATTATAAAGTTCAGCAGGTAAATCTACACCAGCACTTACATGAAAAAAGTATTTTAACATCCAGAAAAATTAATATTTGCCACGTTGAAATGGGAGCAACAGCCAAAATTCTATTTGTTCTTCAGAACAGCAGAATTAAGACTTGGAATAAAATCTTTTCTCAAGCCACAAATGGCTCTTCTGATGTTATCACCTCACAATTATTCAGCATTGCTAATTTCGAACAAAAATAAACAAAAAAAGTCTAACTTCACTATGTATTTGAATTTTTTCTAGAACTATTAAATCGGTGGAACTAGTTTGTACAAATATGACTGGCATTCATATGAATACCATGAATGATCTGTATCACAGTCAATGAGCCACCTGCTAGGCAAATGTTTATCGAGGCAGGGAAGAGGAGACATACCCATAGGCGGCAGGAGAACCAGTTTCAGTACTGGCAGCAGCTCCCACATCCTGGACACGGGCTACTGCATACACTGGATATGCTAATCTTGTAGTAAGAGAATCGTTGTGCTCCTCTAAGGAGTTCTGGGCATAATGAAGTACCAATAATTTTAAGGATTCATAGATGTTATAAGGTTCCGCAAATCCATATCCTCTCTCTGTTTTATAGATAATACAGTGGTTGGTGGTCCCTTTGCACCTAATCAACACAAAAAAAGATTATCTTACATTCTATTCTAAAAGCTTACTATCAAGAAATGAACAAGAGAAAAACATAATTTTCTCATATCACACATAACAATACATAGCTAATAATGACCCACTAAAATATTCTAGATATCACAAAGAAAATGTAAACAGATAAAATGAGAATGTTCCATGAATTATATGTAACTTTCATCTAACTATAATGCTACAGTATTTTTAATGATAATTCATTTACAAGCCTCAGAAAAACATCCTAATTTCCCAAATGGCCAAACATTTATTTAGAAAAGAATAAAAAGAAACATTTAGTTTACCGATCAAGACAATATTATTCTTTATTAATATGTGTGAAAATTTGTTGCCTGCCTGTTTTTTCAATACTTTGTTTCAGTTTTATGAAAGATATAAAAGCGATAAGCTATAAATCCAAGATATTTAATTCAAATTGTGAAACAAATTTTCACACCATTAAAACTGAAACAAATAACCAAAAACACCTTTAAAGCCTATTTGTAATTTGAGATTTCATTTTATGGTCCTTAAGTCACTATGGCAAATTGCGATTCTTGATAAGACATGAAGCTATGAAAACATCTCAATAAATAGAAATAAGACTTACGTTATTGACAAAGCATACTGGCCAGTTCGACTGGGTCGCACAAGAAATGTTCCATCTGGACAGTTGGCTAAAAGAGTCTCTGCCTTAGTTCGTGAGCAATCTAGGAGCAACCAACTAGACTCATCTTGGTGAGGCAAATTTTCTAGATCACTATCAGCTTCCAAATCTTGAAGACCCCAAGAGGAGGCATTTTCATCTGCTAGGAACTGATTTATTAAATGTGCTTTGATGCCTCTTGATTTCAGCCACCTGTAAGAGCACCAAATTAATACCAATAATAACTGAAAATACAACAAAGTCTTGTCTGGATTACTTTACACAACTTACGCCATGTGCCTCTCTTTTTGTTTGAACAACTGGATAATGTCAGGTTTTAAGGAGTTCATTTCTCTTTCTAAACTACGATTGAAAGCCACTTGCTGTTTTAAGTTATCATCTAATTGTTGCTTGCTTTCTTTCAAAGACTCTAGACGCAATTTCAAAACTTCTGAATTTTCATCAAGGCTTTTAATTTCATGGGGTTGGGCTTCTTTTTGATACCGTTCTTGTAATTTCATTTGATCTTCAAACATAGAAATGGCCTCCTGAAAAGCATCCAATGCCTGCAACTTTAACTGTATTTCTTGGGAAGAACGAAAAAAATCTTCTTGAAGATCAGTAAACATTTTAGATTTTCCATTATAATCTTTGTGAATTTCTCTTAATTTCTGTGCCACTTTATCAACATCTGTAGTACTTGCTATTTCATCTTCCTGAAAACAGTAAATTAATAAAGGTTATCTTTCTTAAAGTAACAAGCTAAAAGAAATGATACTAACAATAAAACAAGGGAAACACAAAAAAAAAAAAAAAAATACTAGATTACAAAAAGTTTTAATTCATACAAAACTTTCTGAATCTCTACTGTTAAAATTCTTTGTTTGATAATAGAAATAAGAGTACAGTTGTGAAAGCAGTAGAAACATTAATAATAAATTTCTTAGCTACACAGCATTAATTTCATCTCAGAGCTAACAACTCGCAAAAACATTTCATTCCAACATAATCACCGGACTGTTGTTACATATGAAGTACTGTATTGACCTGAATATAAGACATCTCTAAATATTAAATCCCTTAATTTTGAAGAAGTTTCCTGAGAACCTTTTTCATTTTTAACCAATTCTCAGTCTTCCATAAATTTCCATAAATAACCATAAATTCACAAGTGGTCTTAGAGAATAGAAAACTATCTTGTGGACAAGAGTGTGTTTGTCTGAGCTTTCACTATGTTCTTCTTTACCATTACCATTGTTTTTGTCCTCCTCTTAATATCATTGTTAGTTTGTTTCTGGACTTCCTTCCATACTATGTTGTCTTCTGACATTAGATTTCCCTGAACTATTTGTGGACTGAAATTGCTTTCTGTCGTTTATCTGACCTCCTAAGAACATTATTTCACCAAATTTTCTTTCTGTCATGTTCATGGCCTCTGCTTCAACAACGTGAAATAAACTTGAAACTCGCATTGTTCAATGTCTGAGTGGTGAAATTTTTAACTGCAAACTCGTAGACCTCCGCAATTCAACAATATCTCTGTTACAATTTTTGTGTTATGATTGTGCTACAGAGTCATTTTTTGAGGTTCTCTTAACTGGAAAGATGGGTCTGAATTGCCTGGCACATCCATGGCGGATGCCAAGAACAAGTCCACAAATAGAAGGTATTATTTAGGAAGGTATGTAACATATAGTACAAGAATGGACCCTACAGAAAGTTTCAACAGCTAATGAAAACTGTTTTTATATGTCTTACTACTTTTTGAAACACAATTGCAATCATTGAAATATGCAAAAATTACAAAATTTTGCACTGAATTCTATAACACAACAGTCATATATGTCCATGATGTCTTAATATACCCAGGTCCACCATACATGTTTTTTTAACACAGTGTGTGATGAAATATCTTTCACAAGTAACCTAGACAAAACGCATGGTGTTGAACTTGGCAATAAATTCACACATGTAACCTCGAATGCTGCATTCCGAGAAATGGGTAAGCTTTGCAATTCCAAAGGAAAAGGAATAAATAAAAAGTACAGCTCTTATTATAAAGAACACAACACTCAATTTTGTTACTAAAGCAGATCATTTTCAATGCTTTTTCTCTAATAAAAAAAAAAAAAAAAAAAAAAAAAAAAAAAAAAAAAAAAAAAAGGGGGGGGGGGGCAATTACAACCAACCGCATTGCCCATTGTACCTTTCTGTACCATTCTGTAGATGCACGTAATTTATTATTTATTATCACTGCATATATGTAAGCATTTGAGTTTCTTGACAGGGAAATGCTTAGAAACTTCCTCAGTGATTAGTTTTAAAACTGCAAACGTAAGATGACCTGATATTTTTTTTAATGAGATCTTTACTAACGAAACTCATCTTATATTCGGGTAAATACGGTGTCTTGGCATGATTGGGATTAACAAGATTTGAAATGAAATATTTACCTGTTGCAGTCTGGAGACAGGATACAGTAATTTTATATCTAAGGTGGAATTATATTGGGCTAGAGAGACATTACGGTAGAACTGCACTAATTCCACAACAGAATTAAATTTATAAGGCTCCGAAAATCCGTATTTGCCGCTCCTATGGCAAATTTTTATCAATTTGTTGGTGCCACCTTTACGGAGAGTTAGTGTATACTCTCCTCCTTTGTTTGAAGCATTACGCACAAGGAATGTTCCATCGGGTGTATCCATTAGTTTCTCATTTACCTCTTCCCTAAGAAGGAAATCAAACACAGTCAGAGAAGAAAATATTTCTAGCCCTACTAATATTCTTGCTCAAATATTAAAATTAATAACAATCAACAGAAACTTTAGGAGCACTTCAACACCAAACAATGAAAAATATGCGATCTAGTACCTTGTAATGTCTCCCCAATACCATTCTGCATCTTGCAGATAACGTGGCGAGTCTGGATCAAGGTCCGAAGAAGGTGGATGTGGACGTGAAACTTTCCGAGGCGGAAGAGCAGGAGCAGATGCAAATTCTGGAAGCTTTTCACCCCAGTCTCCATGAAGGAGCAGAAGTTCCATAATTCTAATATGAGCTTCTGTGTTGTAAACCACTTGACTAAAACAAAATTATTACCTTACTTAATACTTAATTTCATGAAGGCAATTCTCCATACTGGACAGTCATAGGGAAAATCTAATCAAGTGAGGGAGGGAAGACAGACAGAGAGAAATGAGGGTAGTAATGAGGAAAGGGAAGGGGAGGGGGGAGAAAAAGGAGGAGGAGGAGAAGGAACGAGGGGATGGCGGAAAAAGGAAAAGGATAGGATGGAAAGTAAGGAGGAATTAGGAGAAAGAGTAGGAGGAGGAACTAGAAGATATTGTTGGCCAACAATTGTGGCATGTACTATAAGGAATGTTCTTTTGAGTCTTACAAAAATGTAATTAATTGTTATTCCTAAACATTATTTGGGATAAAATACATCAAGGAAGATAAATTTATCAATGAAGGGCAGGAACACACTTTTCTTAATACTATTTTGCATAGACATCATGCAAAATTACCTCAAAACAAAAATAACATTACACATTACTCACATTATGCGATCCCAAGGAGGACGTAAAAATATATGACACAAAACTTGGACCAATACTGTTGGAGGTTCTTTGTTGCCACGTGCATGTTGCAGTTGACATAGACGGCAAAAATGTGAAAGAAGGAAATGTAATGTAGAACGATGATGTTCTGGAAGATCTTGGACCAGATGATAAAGACAAGCAGCACACTGCTCATCATTGCGAATACCTAAAACATAATGAGGGCAAAAAATATTAAAAAGAAGAATTGCATCCAATAGCACTCCCAGACAGACATTCGGTAATCATATTTTATTACTGACTTGTGTAAAAAAATGTATCTTTGAAAACATTGTTAAAATCATTAGATAAGGGAGAACCAATTAAGATATACTTACGAGATGCTTCAAGGAATCTGTCGTACCACTGGACAGGGATGATAGGGTCAGGTAACTCACGAAGGAACTTTTTCAATGCACTAGCAATACAATGAGGATCATATTCTGTCAGCTCGACACTTGTGACATCTGTAAACAAAGAATTCATCAATTAAACAAGATAGACAAATAAAATATTACTAAAACATTGCTATTCAAATATTACGGTATTTATGAAACAAATTCTGACAACGTGCAAGGCATTAATGTCCCGAAACATTTTACAAGAGAAAATGAAAATCAAACTATGTAGAAGCTATTTCTTATCTGATTATTATGGGGGTTTTCTCAACGATCTCTTTATTTACAAATACCTGAAATATTTAATTTTTGTGCTTTGAGCTAAATGCTCTTAAAAACTAGATAAAATGTGATTCAAAGAACTAAACTGGGAACCATATGGTCATCCATCATCATCATCATCATCATCATCATCATCATCATCATCATCATCATCATCAACAACAACAACAACAACAACAAAGAAACCACCCTTGAAAACGCGTCAAGATGCTGCCAACAGTCAATTTCACTAAGAATAATTTTCAATAAATTTTTTTTTTTTTAATTGTGAAAAATGTTTTTGTCCCCGAGCAAGACTCGGAAACAAATTTATTTTCAACATGAGCAAATATATACCAAAATACAATGGAAATCCACAAAATAAACGTATTCACAATAGGCTCAGGAAATAAGCTGACACCAACCTTCGTTAAATTTGTGTCTCAATTCGGCTAACTGATCTGCCTGAGGTGATGTGCGATATAATTTGTACAAATCCAAACTATTGTTATTTCGGGCTCGCATTTCAATTTCTTGTGTACAACGCATTACAACAGGTGGTGCAGGTCTTTCAGTGGGGGAGAACTGCAAACAAAGCCCCATTCCAAACACTGAACGGAAATGATGTCTTGTAGGCCGGTCAAGTGCTGCAGGGAGACAAGTAGGCAACCCAGTGGCTGAACAAGTTCTATGAGCAACCAGACCGCATTCTGTAAAGATATTGTAAGGTCAATTTGTGTGTCAATAAGAATAATCCATAGACATTTGATTTTTAGGCAAATGTCTATTTTACTCTTTTGTCATAGACACTTTAAATATATACGCATTACATGTCTTTTTGATACAACTACATTTATAGAACTTAAAATGTGTATTTCAACATTAGAGCCTAAAAAAGTATATTTGTTCATTAATTGCCTCATTTTTGGATTTAAAGAAAATTATGTTGGCTATTTGCAAGCTTGGTTTGGTATTCAAGTCATCTTAAGGAGAAAGAATTCTGTTCTCAGAACATCGAAAGCTGTTTTTGCCCTATTATGTTTACCTCGATCTGAGGTACCACAAAGTTTAATGAACCATTTCACCAACTTGCATCTTACAGGATCTAATATCCTTCCTCATAAGATGACACAATTAGTTCACAGCCAATTATATCCAAGATTGAAGTATGCATGAAATATAAGATCAGATATTGAAAACGATATCTGCTGCTAAAAATATTTTCAGTGACAAAACCACACAATTTAGAAGAGGTTTTGGTTATATACTGTGAGGCAAATAACAGAAAATAATTCTATTCCAGAGGTTTCAGAGATACAGAGTATTTTTCTGACCCTTTGAGCATCTCTAATTGCTTTAATCTGCTTAACTATTTAATCTTATATTTTTTTAATACCTCATACTGATATAGGTGTATTAAAATTGTTTGAAATAAAATGTACTTTGAAAAGTAATTTTCATGTCAATTTACACCACTCATTTTATAAATATTTTTTTCTATTTTCATTTTTTAAGAGCTTAAATGAGAGATTTTAGAGCCTAAAAATCATCATGTAACTGGAAAAAATACAAATAAAACAAAAATTATTTGAGAGAAATCAAATGGAGAAAACCATTATATTAAACCACAATTTTTTAAAGATTATTTCATATCACTTCACGTTCTCTACATTCATAGTCTAAAATACTTTAAATGATGATTTTCAAAAAACAAGATTAGGTACAGAGAATATTGAGATTACTTGTGTCAAATTTAGAAATAAATATCAATAAACAATATCTAATAGATTTTGCATATTATCTTTGTTTCTATTATATTTCACATATTCCATTTTATCACAAAATTTCATTAATGAGAAATAAATTGAAAGTATTAAAACACTATGCAGCAATAGAATAAGAATTAATATTTTTTATTGCAACAATATATTGTAATTGTCAATTACAATAAATTAGTAATTCAGTCATAAAAGTTTCTGAGCAATAAAGAAATTTATTATTCATATACGTACGTACTTTCAAATATAGTGATACACAAATGTCTATGTCTAACACAAATATACAGAATTTCCTTGTAAAACGACTAAAAAAAAAAAAAAAAAAAAANNGAGAGAAAGAGAGAGAGAAAGAGAGAGAGAAAGAGAGAGAGAAAGAGAGAGAGAAAGAGAGACAGAGACAGAATAATAATAATAATAATAATAATAATAATAATAATAATAATAAAAAAAATAAAAAAATAGAAAAAAAAAATCATCAGGCAATCAAACGTTTTTGGTGAAAGTATAAAACCCGCATATGAAAACAGTCACTGAATTGGCACATGGATGAACAAGAACTAGTGTCATAAGGTATAAACTATTTTTTTATTGTCAGAAAAATATTCAGCCTTTTTTAATGATTTAGATTTATCATTTACAAATGAAGAGAATTGAATTCAATAGCTGACAGGGCTTTTTATTTTTGTTTCAATCATGTGCATTAACTGGAGGAATCACCCCCCCCCCCC